TGGCAAACTTTTTTAAAATCTTAACGAACATAGTGATTTTTAATACCTAATCTATTTTCGCAATTTGGCAAACTCTACATTGATTTTAGAACCACGGTTTCTTCGTCAAATTTGCTTAGAAATATACATAGAATCTTTCTGTGCTAAACGTGTATAGTCGACAAAATCTCCCATACAAATTGACCCGCCCTAATGTACCTTTAGTTATTTGTTTGCACGTGCGCTCATATTTCGCAAACATACATCCATACATTTGTTTGCATATACATATGTGCCTACGAGTACATATAAGCAAATACTTTATACCAGATCCGTCTACGTTCTCTTGAAACATTTTTTTGTTACACAGTGTTGCTTTTGTTAGTGACGCGAAAATTGAATATGCTTTGTTTATTTTCATTTTTATTCGCAAATTCATTTATTTACATTGCTCAGATGGTGACTACTTTCTGGCTGCATTTCAATTAACGCTAGCGGCAAAGCGAAACCCACTACCTCCTCCTGCCCACATACCTTTTTGTACGTTTTGTACAGAATGCGAGGAGGTAGTCAGTTGGTAGTTTTCCCTTTAGCTCATTCTTTTGTTATTGTAGCATATAGTATATTTGATTGCCTGTCAGTTTTTGTGAACCTGTCAGTCAGAGTTCAAAATTTAAATGTACATTTTATATTTCAGAAATTAAAAAGTGGACGTAAGGGGTGTTAGCCACATAGGGTGGAATGGGATTTTTTTTTAACGAATTTCGGCGAATAAATAGTACCTTTATCTAGTCCAATAGGCCATTGGAGAAAACCTAAGGATTGGCGCTGGAACTAAATTAATGGGTCATTAAGAGCCTTAAAGCATATTTTCTGCTTTTTTTTAAGGGAAAATTGAAAAAAACTTTCGCCTCTCCGGTTGCTCGATTTTTAACCACAAGTTCTATTATTTACCTTCCCTCAGCTTCTGAGATCGTAATAACATTTCACGACCACTTCTACGATTTTGTCAGCGGATGGTAGCGAACACCATAATTTTTCACGATTGAGAGAATACAAAGGTTGCACTGAATTTGACAGAATCGTTGCTTGCATNATCATTAAGAGCCTTAAAGCATATTTTCTGCTTTTTTTTAAGGGGAAATTGAAAAAAACTTTCGCCTCTCCGGTTGCTCGATTTTTAACCACAAGTTCTATTATTTACCTTCCCTCAGCTTCTGCGATCGTAATAACATTTCACGACCACTTCTACGATTTTGTCAGCGGATGGTAGCGAACACCATAATTTTTCACGATTGAGAGAATACAAAGGTTGCACTGAATTTGACAGAATCGTTGCTTGCATGACGTCACACTGGTGCAACTTGTTTACGTTTTCCTTGCAACATTTTTTCTTCTTCTTCCATTCTCGCTCACGTTTTGGCATTTCTCTCTCGCACGTCACACAAAAGTTATTCTCAAAAATCCTCTCTGATCGGCGCAATCTTGTATTCTATCATTCTTGATCATTTTTATTAAGTGAACATTTTCCATCGCATGCTTTTCTTTGGAATATAAGACTGTTTCTTAAATAAACTATGCCCTTTTCTTAGTACTTAACTTATCCATAACTTTTGCATACATACTTCGTTCATTTCTTCAGCGAAAAAACAATGAAAGAGTTTTCCGATTTCTACTTGCGATATTTAGATCCGNATAATTTTTATTAAGTGAACATTTTCCATCGCATGCTTTTCTTTGGAATATAAGACTGTTTCTTAAATAAACTATGCCCTTTTCTTAGTACTTAACTTATCCATAACTTTTGCATACATACTTCGTTCATTTCTTCAGCGAAAAAACAATGAAAGAGTTTTCCGATTTCTACTTGCGATATTTAGATCCTCCTTATAAGGCTTAGGGCCATTTTCCTAGGTAGTTTTTTAAATCTCGCATTCAAACACAATTTAGAGAATAAAATGTATAATGTATACATATATAATAAATATTTAATACATTTTATGTTTAGAGGGCAGATAAATTTAAAAGCCTACTTGAGAAAGCGGCCTTTAGTATAATTTTTAAAGCAACTTGTGCTCGGAGGATGGACCTATTACGAGGCAGTGGTGTTCCGACCATGTTTTTGGCATACACACACAAATATAACGGTTTAGAAATGCTAATAAGTGCTCTATTAAAGGAATCGCGATTAAAGAGATATCGCTGATTTACTCCTAAATAGCTAATTTTTTTTATTTGAGTATTTAGCAACTCCTAAATACCTAAGTCTTGTTTACTTGAATATTAGACGTCTCTAAATATTAAGTATTTGAGTATTTAGTACCCAAACTGGTATATTTAATACGAAAGTACTCAAGTAAAAACTTGTAAAAATTATTTTTAAGCATAATCTGTGCACATTCGATTTACACCTTACAAAAAAACTACGAATAACTGTTATTTTTGATCGAAAAAATAAAAATCATAATATACATATGATTAAAGATGATCAAAAAATAAAGATCACAAAAAACGATTAAAAAATGATCGAAACAATAAAAATCATAAAAAAACGATAAAAAATTATCGAAGAAAAAAAATCACAAAATACCGATTAATTCATGATTTTTATTATAAAAATCATAACGGTTACGGTCCATGGTTATTTAGCTTTAGGAATAATATCTTTTACTGGACATTTGCAACAATTGATAAATCTGACTTTTGACCGGTTTTTCTGCATAAATACCCGTATGTGCGCGTCGCGTGTTAATCTTTTAACTTACTTCCTAAAACCGTCGTGGAGTGAATGCAATAATGCAGTGTGTATGTAGGTACATATGTATATCCTAAACTCGTTTTCTCTCTATGTTAGCGACAGTTCCTTTTAGGTTAGATTTGTTTGCCCTCAAGAAAAGTGTCGACTTTATTTTGACTATGAATACTTGAAGGACTTTAATCATTTCAGCTCTGTTTGCTCACTATTACAGCTAGTTGCGATTGCGCCTAATCAGTACAGCGTCTTACAAGCTTAGCTGATGGCTATCTCTAATGTCGATTAAAATCGTTCAGATGGCTGCAGTGCCCTTTAAGAAAGCTCGTCTAAGCTTGGACCCATAAGTATAAAATCATTTCGAGTTCTCGTGACTCGGCACCCCCTTCTGACCATTCTTCTCGGTGGATCTAGAAATTTTGCTGATGGCAGTAGAAAGCAGATTCCTTTAAGCAGACAGGATGATTGATAGCACGAAGAAAAGCTACTGTTACAGTCCATGCCTAAACTTGGAAGCTCCACAATTAATAACACTGTACGGACACTAAAATAACACAATAAAACGGCGAGACATTTAAACTTAAATTTGTGTCGTAGATTGCGGATCTGTACACCATTTTTCTAGATCAGGTAATTTTCCCCAAGATATTTTCATTTGAATGAAAAAAATATATCAAACTTTAATACGGAAAATATTACTCATACGCCATGAACGAGTATGTACAAGTGCGTCCATGTACGATGTGGCGTATGAGTAACATTATTTTCTACTCCTATTTCATACCAAAAAGTATTGCACATTTTAATTTGACTATTCAAAGCTTGTTTATTAGTCCATCGATTTTCATCACAGATTTATTATATTTTTAATTTTTTCCTCTTTAAAGTTCGATTTTTTTTTAATAAAAATATATAAAAATTCTGGTTGAATTAAGGAATTTGGGTAATTGAAAAATATTTTAGAGGAAAGAACTTTAGGAAGGTTATAGATTGAAAATATTTTAAAGAGGGCTGAAGGCTAAGAGGGCTTGGTGAGTTTAAGTATGTTGAGTTCTATTGAAATAAATCGGACACTCAGCAAAGCCGGTGGGGAAGAACTAGTAGTAAATATGTATAGAAATAATAAAGTTCTATTCGCGCAAGTAATAATATCGTTGGTTTTGCCCGTATGCAGCTCTCAAGAAAACGATCAAGAAAAAATTTTATACATATTTTTACATTTTTGATACATATATTTCTGTTGCAAACCTAGGTTGCCTTGTGCTATTTTTTCATAAAAAACTTTAGAAAACAGTAGTAGCAAGCGTAGCAAATTCCTTAAGAACTGCGTACTGCCTTGAGGAAATTTGACTCAAGAAAATTTCTTAGCCATTTCTTGAACGTCATTTTACATGGAGTTTTTGCTTTTCTTGAGAGCTGCATACAGGCCTTTTGGGTCAAAAGGTAAACGTAATGTTTCTCTAGAGGTGTTTGATATTTATAAGCATACGAGTTATTCATTACAATTCTTCTTCTGGACATCTTCATGCTTAATTTACATACAGCTCAATAATTCTGTAAATAAGTATACATATACATATATGCCTAAAAATATCCAACGTTTGCAAACCAATATAAGGTTCTGCACATTTCTCCAAACTGGACTCGTTTCCCACCAGATCTCTAAATCTGTCATACAACATATAGTGCTCATTATAAGTATACGACATCGACATATTGATAAGGTTGACAAATATTTTTTCTAAAAACATAGTTCATATAAATTTGCCTTTGTACAACAATGGAAAAAAATTACTTTCCAGATTTTTTTTTAAATTTTTGAGTATGCAGTTTTATAAAAAAAAAAGTAATGATTATCACTGTACTTTTTCACGAGCACATTTTCATTAAATTTCGCAAACAAAAACCGAGCGATAGCATGACTATTGCTTTAGCTAATGCGCCTAAAACTATGCCTCTATGGCAATTGGCATTGTTATTCGCATTACGGAACAGTGTTTATATTCGGTACTAAAATTTTAGGCGTGGGAATAATGCCGTTAGTCTTAATATTGAAAACCTAATATTTACACAATTGTAATTAAACCAACAACTATTGATGACACTCAATTTTCAGCACTAATTTTTATCATCCTCACATATACATACATATATATCGAGTACGGGTAAACAAAATAAACTAGTCAGCCACTCCAAACAATCAAGCTCACACTTGCGCACTCCCATTAAGTCCATATACATTTAATGAAAGCATTTATTGCATACTTACAGGCTAATGATGCCACGCAACGCCGGCATATCTCGGCGACGATTCAATGGTGGCGACATGGACAACGACAAAAAGTCCTGCTGTCGGTCCTCATCGATGCTGGTGTTAAAGATGCGCGTTGTCGGCAAATAGCCAATCTGCTGGAGAAAATCATCGCGATACGAGAGCTTAGTCGACGACTGCGACGTAGTGAGTGGATAGTGTGTCCCGTGTTGAGTTATACCCACACCACCGCCGCCGCCGCCGCCGCCACCCGTGTGACGATCAATGGACGATTGCTTCTGCATGCCGGCGGACGTTGGATGATGGTGGAAGTGTGTATGGAAGTGATGGTGTGTCAAGTAGGTGCTATGGCTGCCAATGCCGCTACCAGCGCCGCCGCTGCCAATGCCGCCAATATTGCTGCCACACATGCCAATGCCACTACCAGCGACGCTGACAGCAGTGCTAACGCCGCTGCTATTGACGCTCAATGGAGATATGATTTTGTCATCGAAACTGCGTCGAAAGCTAAAGCCTTTAATGGTGCTATAGTTGCGATGCGTCAGCGGTGTGGTGCCCAAATCAATAGAGGCGGGACCAAGCAACTTCATGTTGCTCAAGTAGCTCGATGCATTATTGCCGCCACTGACGACACTCATACTATTGCTGCACCCAAAGCCGCTGCTAAGCGGTGTGCTGGTGCTTAGTGCGGGCGAAATGCTAGTTAGGTGACTATTGCTGCCGGTGAGTAGGGAGAGACCAGCTGTGCTGCTGCCGCCACCGCCACTACTGCCTATACAACTGCCTATACCGCCGCCGCCGCCACTGCTGCTGTTGCTGTTGCTACCACAACCACCACCACCATAGGAAGAAAGACTGCCCCCGATGGAGAGACTTTGTAGTGGACTTAACGATTTTCTGGTATTAGCGCTGCCGCCGCTAACGCCTCCACTGCTACAGCCATAAATAGATGTGTTGGCCGAGTGACTGGATACCGAAATGGCCGCCAGCCCATTGGTGAGCGCGGCGTAGCTACCGCTTATGATAGGACTACAGCGTCCAGCCGCTATTGCGCTGCTACTAACCGCTGCGCACACGCTGCTGCTGATGGGTGTCATGGCGTTGGCGATGTTGTTCGAGATCGAAGATGCGGGCATGCTGCATATTATGGTGGGCGGTGGTGAGAGTTGCGAGACCAACGATGGCGTCGACGAGGAAATGCCACTGTCGCCGCTGCTGCAGAGCGTGCTGCCAATGCCAATGCTGGCCAAGCTGGCACAGACATTGGCACTGCTGCCGCCGCCGACGACGCCACCACCACTGAGGCTGTGCTGCGGTGACGATGTTGAGGTCGTTGTCTCAATTGTTATCGTATTCGAGGCGGACAGTACCACGGGTGGTGCCAGTTTAACAGCTCTGATTTTTTTGCTTTCTCAATAGAGGTGGCCGACTTGTTTGTGGCCGACTTGTTTTTTTTTTTTGTTTTTGTTAAAGTTTTCTTAAATTGATTGGTGTTTTTTTCGGTAAAAATCTTAATTTTTCTTTTAGTTATCCTTTAATTTGTGCCTTTGTTGCCTTTCACTACACACAAGTTCCGCTGCTGCTCTTGTACCACTTCCTGACTATACGATACTTCAATTTCCGCTATTTGTCTCCTTGCTTCCTTCCTTTTGCTGCTGCTGGTGCTTGCTTTTCGTCTCCTCCGCCTGCACCTCCTTCTTCTGCTCAGTTAGCTCACACTAATAGTTGTCGTTGCTAGTCGTCGCCAGTGTTGCCAGCTAGCGGGCTATATCTCTCTGACCGCACGTTCGTTTTGCTTTGTTGTTCTCTGTGTGTGCCGGGCTGTTGCACTTGCATGTGACTGTCTCAACGACGCTGGGATTGTGGCTGTGGTTGCGGTTGTTCGTGTTCTCGTTATTGCTGCCACCGCATTGCCTGCTAACAACAACAAAACACCTCGCCACAGTAACAACAATGCCAGCACCCGCCGAAATGTTGATCCGCCTTGCATGCCATTGAACTATGCGCCTTCCGGCCAACTGCTTCAAAATTTTTAATTCAATTCCGCTGACAATTCCAGATTACTCATACGTACTGTTGAACGTTGGTCGTTGATTCGCCTGTGCCTTTTGCTATATGTATGTATGTATATCGTACTTGCGTGCGGCTTTCCTGTTTTGTGTTTCGTTCGTTGCCCTGTTATAGCTGCGTCAGTGTGTTTGGGTGTGTGTGTGTGTATGTGTATGTGTGCCTGCGTCCCCTAAATGCCTGATATCCTTTGTACTCACGGCGACTGCACTGGCAGTTGTTTGTGTGTGTATGTATGCGTGTATTTTCTTTTGCTTATCTGCTTTGTGCTTCAGGCAACTGCACTAAAACGCCACAAAGTATGCTTTGAAATTTTTTTGATCACTTTTTATGAATACATTTTTCGCGTATAAAAATTAGAAAATTCCCTATGAATGATGTTCTCTTTTTAGTTTTTGTTTTTATTTTAATTTTATTTTAAAGCTTTTACTGCACATTGCAAACTGCCACAGTTACATATAAACACGTTCAGCACATTCCTTTCAACTACTTATTTATGTGTATGCGTTCACTTATGTGTGTCGGTATATGTATGCCTTCGATACTTCACATGGGGGAATTTTTCATATGTATATTTTCCGCAGCAATTTTTCACACTTCTTTACTTTTTTTATTACCGAAAACTTGCACTCCCATTTTTTTCCGTACTTCGCTAAGCTTAACGTTGTGATTGGTTACATATTTTTACTATTAATTTAAGGTAGAAAATTTTGTTTAGTTTTATCTCTTTTTTCAAAATTTTTTCTCTGGCCAAAAGCCTGCCTTTGCCAGCCTGCCAGCCTTTTCGTATGTCGTCTTCGTCGTCGACTTGCTTTCTGCGCTCTGGCTGCTCTTTTGTAATTCAATTCAGTTCAATTCAATTCAGTCCAGCTCGATTGCTTGTTCCATTGCTCTGCGCTGCTGCTTTCAAATGTCAGTCAGCGAAGTTTCCACTCTGTTCTCCATGCTTTGGCACAGGCACACATACATACGTATATACAAACATACATTCCTATACGTACTCGTACAAACATATTTGGGTCTGACAGCAAGTTGCAATGAGTTTCGCCTACCATCGGCACTGCGCATGATCGATAAATAATGAAAACAAACAGAAGTTCGCCTGTATTTGCACTTCTGAGTTGTTGTGATTTTCTCTGTTGTCACTGTGCCATTTGGTTGTGTTGTTGTTACTCACTTTTTTTGGTATTTGGCACCGCACTTTGAAGTAAAACATTTTTTTTTTATTTGTCACGTTGCACTCATTCTCCCAAGCAGCTGCCAAAAGCAGTTGAAGAAATGTCAAACTGTCACGGTTGTACATCGCTCTTTGAACTCCCTCATTACCCCAAAATACCTACTATGCCTGCAGCTCGGTTGGTTAAAGCTAAGCTGTTTCCATTTTTTCGCTAGCAGCTGTAGCGCTTCGCTATCGGCGGTTATGTGCCGACTCTCATTCTCTTATGTGCATATGTTGGATGGAACCCACCTGGGAACGATCCATGAAAAATAGCTTTACAGGGCGATTCTGGCAACTGTCTTTCAACTCTCCACAGTCTTTCGAAAGACAAAAGACTTTCGATAGATGATTGTCAATTTTTGCAACCATCTTGAAGGCTCTTTTCTGTCTTTCGAAAGATTAATTGTGAGATCTACATACTAACCAGGAAGTATTAGCGTTATTCTGTTTGTCTTTTAGCAATAAGTTTTCTAACGATTAAATTAAATAGAAAAAAATTATCTATTTTTTAAAGCAATAAAAACGAAAATTTAGAAGAATACTAAAAAAAACTAAATTAAAAAAGAGTAAGTAAATAAAATAAGTTTCTAAAAATTCAGTGACATTAAAAGAAGATTTTGTTCTTTTGAAAGAAATAAAATCTAATAATTAAAAAAAATGTATCAAAAAAGGAACAAAATTTAATAAAAAAGGAGATTAAAAAAATTTCTTTTTAAAACAATAAAATCTAAAAATTAAAAAAATTAAAGAAATTTTAAGTAAAGAAAAAATTTTTTTTTTAATTTAAACAAAATTAAAAAATATTTTCCTTTTTATAACAATAATATCCAAAAATTAAAGGAAAATTAATTTACAAAAAGAAACAAAAAACTAATTAAGTTTACGAAAAGAAAACAAATCCAAAAAATAAGTTTCAAAAAATTAAATAAAATTTTTTTTTCTTCTTAATAAAACAATATAATCTAAAAATGTTAATAAAATTTAATACAATATAATAAATACAAAAAAGGAAACAAACAAAATAAGATCCTTAAGATTAAAGAAATAAAAAAAATATTTGTTTTTAACAATTATATCGAATGCTAAAAGAAAGTTAATTAAAGAAATTATAAAATAAGTTTCTAAAGTTTTTATTTTTAGAAAAATTAAATCTGAAAATTGAAAACCTTGTATCTCTCGAAAGGCACGCCAGTGTTTTGCAACTTTAATACAATTAAAAAAAAAATAGTTTTTAAAAACAATAACCCAAAAATTAAAACGAAATTAAATAAACAAATAATCAAATAAATTTCTAAACATTATATGAAATTAAAAAAATGCTTCTTTTTAAAACAATAAAATCAAATAATTCAAAGAAATTTAAATTAACAATAGGAAAAATAAAGTTAAAAATATAATAAAATAAACTTTAAAGAATTAAATGAAATTATAAAAATAAATAAAATAAATTTTAAAAATCAAATTAAATGAAAAAAATATAATATTTTCTAAAAAAAAATTTATCTGAAAATTAAAAAAAAATTTAATTAAAACAAGTAAGAAAGTCTAAGTTCGGGCGACGCCGAACATTAAATACCCCGGCGTAAGTATTAAATATATGTATGATATACACATGTAACCAAATGTATAATATTCTTATTATTCAACTAAAGATTATTGTAAATATCAATTTTGAGTGAATAATCTTTAGTAGTTACTAAAATCTCGCAGTTTTCGTATTTCTGAAAATTACCGTTATATGGGAGGTAGGCGTGATTATTGTCCGATTTTGCCCATTTTCAATACCATCCATCCTAAACAGTGCACGTACCAAGTTTCGTTAAGATATCTAAATTTTTACTCGAGTTATGCGAGTGTGCACAGACGGACGGACGGACGGACATACAGTCACCGCTTAATCGATTTCTCTTTTCATTCTGATCATTTATGTATACATTAGATTAATCTCGAAAAATTAAATTAAATGAAAAAATACTTCTTAAAAACAAACATGGACTGGCCATCTATCTTTACCTATCAATCTTTATCAACATTCTTAATTTATTTTCTATCTTTGTATGTTTTTATTTCTTATCGTATTCTTTCTATCTCTTTATTGTTTGGAGATTATAATTATAATGTTAGTTTATTTATTTGTCCTTGTTTTTATACTTAAGTTTGCTTTTCTCCTTGTCTATATTTAAATCAGCAATTTGTTGTACTATAAAAGATTATATTTTATTGTACTAATGGTTGTACATTTAATAAATGAAATGAAAATGAAAAAAATACACGCAAGTGCTTTGCCTATTAAATGAAATTTAAAAAATATATATGTATGTACGTAGAAGTAAAGAAAAGTAGAAGTAAAAGAAAATTTAACTATCAAAAAATATATAAATAAAAAAAAANTAAATTTTTTTTATCAAATCTTAGAAGTAAAAGAAAATTTAACTATCAAAAAATATATAAATAAAAAAAAATTAGAAAATTTAATAATTTTAATTGAAATAAAAATAGTGTTACACATATGTAACGCTCGAATTTCGTGGACTAATATTGTTGTTATGAAACTTGTTAATACATAACAAAGATTCACGAATTTTACGTATATGTTTCAGGTCGTACAGACATCCCTTGATAGAGGTCGAAACTTTTTATTATGGGTTTTTGTACATATCCTCTAAATTTGCTCTTTTGCTTTCGCGTTTTAATGAGTTAAAATAACAAGATCTAAAAATTAAAAACAAAAAAACAAATTGAATTAAAAGAAACAAATGAATTAATAAATAAAAGGGTTGGCTTTCCTTTATGGCCGTTCGTTAATGGGGCGCTGGGCGAAAGGTAAGTGGGCGTGGCACCTCTAACCTACCTTTTTGGAGAGGGAATGAACCGCCATTGACAAAAATGTAACCCCCGACCACCTAGGTCCCCTATGGCTCCCTAGGGACCCCTTAGAAAAATGTGCCAAAAATCACAATTCTCATTTGCGTTTATTCGCATTTTCTCCTAAACCAAATTGGATTTTTTATAGTATATTCGATATGAAATTAAATAAAACACGATAAAATACCTTTTTAAGAAAACAAAGTGTGTATACTGAGAAAAAATAAAAAACATTCAACTATATTAATGGGCAAAGAATAGTTAAAGAAGTAACACTGTTTCACGTAAGGCAGTCAATATGGCGGAATTAGAGCGAGAAGTTGTCAACTGATAACACTTTGTATTATTGCATCATGATACATCCGCAAAATTTATCTTGGCTTCAGCAAATCGTATCGTCTTAGCCCAACCTTGCTTTAGCGCACCCTAATATTTTATTAACCTCTTTCTCTTCTGTTTGACATTTACCAGCGAATAAAGCCGCGAAGCAAATGTAAAAAATCGGTGTGTGAAAAAATTGCGCTTGCAGAAAATCTTACTAAATTATAGTAAAAAATGCTTTTATTCAACAAAAAATAAGTGGAAAGTGTTGCTTACATTAGTATAAACAGTTATATAACGCATTCCAATAAAATAAAAGACGCCCACAACAAAAGCACTGGCAAAGGTGCGACGCTCGGGTATAGCAGAAGAAAAAATTGTTGCAATAGCAAATCGAAACAGCCAGGCAGACCGCCGCTATGGCACGCCCAATTTATCCAAATCAGCAGAAAATTGCTGAAAAGTTAGTTATACTCAATGATCGTGGCCTGGGCATTCTGACACGAATTTACAACATTAAAAAAGCATGCGGCGATACTAAATCGAAGCCAGGTTTCTTATCGGACAAGTCGCTTGAGTCATCAATTAAATTCATAGTCAAGCGTTTTCCCAATATTGATGTCAAGGGATTGAATGCAATAGTAAACATAAAAGCGGAAATTATAAAATCTCTCTCGCTTTATTATCACACTTTTGTCGATTTGCTAGATTTCAAAGATAACGTTTGCGAATTGCTCACTACAATGGATGCATGCCAAATACACCTGGACATTACACAAAATTTTGAATTAACAAAAAATTATCTGGATTTGGTGGTCACATACGTTTCCTTGATGATACTACTGTCGCGCGTTGAAGATCGCAAAGCTGTATTGGGGCTCTATAATGCGGCTTACGAATTGCAAAATAATCAAGCTGACTCGGGTTTTCCGCGTCTTGGCCAGATGATACTCGATTATGAGGTGCCATTGAAGCGCTTGTCAGAAGAGTTCATACCACATCAGCGTTTGCTGACCAACGCATTACGCTCGCTTACGATAATCTATCCCTTGCGCAATTTGCCAGCTGATAAATGGCGTGAAATGCAAAAGCTCAGTTTGGTGGGCAATCCTGCCATACTCCTGAAAGCTGTGCGCACCGATACAATGTCTTGCGAATATGTCTCGCTTGAAGCAATGGACCGTTGGATAATTTTTGGTTTACTGTTGAACCACCAAATGCTTGGACAGTATCAGGAAGTAAATAAAATATGGATATCGGCTTTGGAGTCGAGTTGGGTGATTGCGTTGTTTCGCGATGAAGTACTGCAAATACATCAATACATACAGGGTACTTTCGATGGTATAAAAGGATATAGTAAGCGCATAAGTGAGGTAAAAGAAGCGTATGCTGTGGCAACACAGAAGGCAGCGCTAATGCATCGTGAGCGGAGAAAATTTTTGCGTACAGCTTTGAAGGAGCTTGCGTTGATCATGACGGATCAACCAGGTTTGCTTGGTCCCAAAGCGATTTTCATTTTTATAGGCTTGTGCTTGGCGCGCGACGAAATTTTGTGGCTACTACGGCACAACGACAATCCGCCAGTGCAGAAGAATAAAGGTTTGATTTTTGTATAATAATGGGTAAACTAAAATTTATTATGCGAAATTTGTCTCAACCTCCCAAAATGCAGGTAAATCCAATGAGGACCTTGTCGATCGCCAATTGCCGGAGTTGCTCTTTCATATGGAGGAACTGCGCGCGCTAGTGCGAAAGTACAGCCAAGTCATGCAACGCTATTATGTGCAATATCTTTCTGGGTTCGATTCAATCGATCTCAATATACGTATGCAGAGTTTGCAAGTTTGTCCCGAGGATGAAAGCGTAATATTTTCTTCGCTCTACAATACGGCTTCAAGTTTGACTGTTAAGCAAGTGGAAGATAACGAGTTATTTGATTTTCGCGCATTTCGTCTTGACTGGTTTCGCTTGCAGACGTATATGAGCGTCAGTAAGGCGGCGCTACGCATCACTGAAAATGTGGAATTGGCGCGCCTGCTTGATTCCATGGTTTTCCATACACGTGTTGTTGATAACTTGGACGAGATACTCGTTGAGACATCGGATTTGAGTATTTTCTGCTTCTATAGCAAAATGTTTGACGACCAATTTCATATGTGTTTGGAATTTCCGGCACAGAATCGTTACATAATTGCATTTCCCTTAATTTGCAGTCACTTTCAAAATTGTACACATGAAATGTGTCCCGAAGAGCGTCATCATATACGTGAACGATCGCTAAGCGTAGTGAATATATTTTTGGAGGAGATGGCTAAAGAGGCCAAGAATATTATAACCACAATTTGTGATGAGCAATGCACCATGGCGGATGCTCTTTTGCCTAAACACTGTGCCAAGATACTCTCCGTACAGTCAGCGCGCAAAAAGAAAGATAAATCTAAGAAGCAGTTCGATGACATACGCAAGCCTGGTGATGAATCTTATCGCAAGACGCGTGAAGACTTGACTACCATGGATAAGCTACATATGGCGCTGACAGAGTTGTGTTTTGCTATAAATTACTGTCCAACAGTGAATGTATGGGAATTTGCTTTCGCACCACGCGAATACCTATGCCAGAATTTAGAGCATCGTTTTTCACGCGATTTAGTCGGTATGGTTATGTTCAATCAGGATACAATGGAAATTGCAAAGCCGTCTGAGCTTTTGGCAACCGTACGCGCATATATGAATGTTCTCCAAACTGTAGAGAATTATGTGCATATCGATATCACGCGGGTGTTCAACAACTGCCTATTGCAGCAGACACAAACGTTGGATTCGCATGGTGAGAAGACCATAGCGGCGTTGTATAACACATGGTTAGTCACAACTTGTATTCTTATCATAGTGTACATAACATCATTACTTTTACTTTCTGCCTCTTAGGTACAGCGAAGTGCTGCTGCGTCGCGTCTCTGCCGGCAATATTGTCTTTTCTATGAATCAAAAAGCATTTGTGCCCATTTCTCCCGAAGGTTGGGTGCCCTTCAATCCACAAGAATTCTCTGACTTAAATGAACTGCGTTCGCTGGCCGAGCTTGTCGGTCCCTATGGCATTAAGTCGCTCAACGAGACACTCATGTGGCACATTGCCAATCAAGTGCAGGAGCTGAAACAGCTGGTCGCCACCAATAAAGATGTGCTCATACTGTTGCGCACCAGCTTCGATAAACCCGAAGTAATGAAGGAGCAATTCAAACGCCTGCAGGACGTTGATCGCGTACTTCAACGTATGAGCATTATAGGCGTTATACTTTGCTTTCGTAATTTGGTGCATGAAGCGCTTGTTGATGTGCTTGAGAAACGTATACCCTTTTTGTTAAGTTCAGTGTGTGATTTTCAAGAGCATTTGCCTGGTGGTGATCAAATACGTGTTGCTTCCGAGATGGCTTCTGCAGCAGGTTTGCCATGCAAAGTCGACCCGACGCTTACCACCACACTCAAATCGAAGAAACCCGAATTTGATGAAGGCGAACACTTGGTTTCATGCTTGTTGATGGTTTTTGTTGCGGTCTCCATACCAAAATTGGCGCGCAACGAAACATCTTTCTATCGCGCTTCCATCGATGGACATTCGAATAATACACATTGCATGGCAGTGGCTATTAATAATATATTTGGTGCGCTCTTCACCATTTGCGGTGAAAACGACATAGAGGATCGCATGAAAGAGTTCTTAGCGTTGGCGAGTTCATCACTTTTGCGTTTGGGACAAGAGTCTGACAAGGAGGCTACACGTAATCGCGAATCAATTTACTTGCTGTTGGATGAGATTGTCAAACAATCGCCCTTCTTGACAATGGATCTGCTTGAATCCTGTTTCCCTTATGTGCTCATACGTAATGCATATCACGCAGTCTACAAACAGGAGCAAATGTTGGGACTTTGAGCAAGAAAAGGGAATTAAATTTAAGTGGATTTTCGATGCGAAGTTTAGAATTGAATTAGAAAATTAAGGAGTTTTAAGTTTTGCCGTTGCAGACGACTTGAAAAGTATTTACTCTATGTCTTTTGCTGTCTACTCTCTACATTCTACTTGGGCATTTATAATTAAGCGAATGCATTATTATCTTATCACATACATATTCATATTATATGAATATATATATTTAGTGTTGTAGGCGTAATTTTCGTTAGCTTACATACCGTATATATACTACATACAATAAAGTATTAAAACTTTTGTAAATATGATGCCTTATTTGAAACGGTACGAATTGGATTTATGAAAGTTAAGGCTTTTTAGGCCTTGCTTAGATTTGTGTGAATATAGAAAGATGTGTGTTTATGTTTATATGTATGCATAAAATAATCAACTACCGGAAGACGTTTCTACGTTCTCCGTTCCGCAGAAAAATGGTTGGGTTACCATCATGGGGGCTAAGGTTTAGCTCCTCTAAGAAACTGGGTCATAACACAAAAATAATGTTTACATTCCATCCACTATGCCTCTTTATTGCCTGACTGCCAATTAAAAATACAAAAATAAACACTTTAGGTAAACAATTATGGCTAGTGAGAAACCAGCCATTAAACTTAAAACTAAAAAATGTTCCATGAAATCGGATTGAACGCATGCGTGGCACGCAGGTATGTATGTATGTTTCTGAAATTTTATAAATCAATAAACGAAAAAAATATTTCAAACTTTAGATTTTTTCGCAGCTCTTTCCTGCATACGTATGTTAAAAATATGAGTTTGCAGAAATGATGTTAAAAAAATATTAACGCTTCACATTTGGTTGAAATAAGATTGATAGACAACGCCGAGTGCTGAGGAGGTAAAAAGCGTAAAATAACTCCACCAGCTGGCAAAACCAAGGAAGCCCTTGTACACATCAGCATTGAAAACCTGCAAGAAATTAAGTGAAAATTAATAAAATATTTATAATAATTTTATATGTGCAAACATTTTTCAAGCTAATCCACTGTTCATGTATCGCATTCGCCGATTCCAGAATATTAAAATCTTCACGAACTGGCTCAACACTTTCAGGCAATGGCATGCTGCTCAAGACCGTTGTTTCAGCTGGCGGCGCAGGCATAGTAGCTATAGCCTCAATAAGACTATCGTCCTGTGGCGCATCACTTATAGCACACATATCAGTACAAACGCTGGTACTAGCACGCAATATGCCAGACCAAGTAAATTCGCCTAAACTTTTATACATCAATGTGAGGTATAAGCAAAGCAAGAGTGGTGCGGCGAATTGCAAGGTCACCACGCAGAGATAGTAGAATATGGAGGAAATCTGAAAATACACTCAAGATTATATAAAAATAATTGAAACTATGAAAAAGCGCAACCGTTTTCTGATATTCCACATTGGTAATACGACCAGCTTCTTTGCGTAAATCCATGATTTTATCATGCGCTAAATTTAGATACGATTGCAAATAGATTGGTATTAAAGCGAAACGTAGTAGTACGATTAATATGACAATTAGCAGGCGAATGGTCTCAAAGGCCTCCACTGAAAGTCTGCGGAAGTAAAGAAAAGTTGTGTATGCAAATCTAACATAAAAATTAAATAAATTTTCGAAAACATACAAAGGCTTCTCCATGCCTTCGAATACGCGCTCAGTCAAATACTCCCTGCTAATCGGTCTTATCCAGAGTATTATTAGTAGAAATGGTAAAATAAAACTAATATTGAGTAACAATTGTAGCAGCTTGCGACCGCTACAGTACTTCAGTGAGTCCCAATGCATTTTTGCCATGCGCAGACCGGGAAAAGTAAATAGAGCGCCCAGTATACCGCAGCAAACAGCCATGCATAGTTTAATTATCAGTTTTGAGGCGGGCCCACTGTGAATAAAATAGTAGTTAAGTAATGCGTACGTAAAAAACAAAATTCAATTTCTATATACGCACGACGAAGTCATGCCCTGTGCAGTGAGGAACTTGGAGGCGCTTTCATTGAAGCTGCTGTATGCGTGTTCTATACCAGTCTCCAGATTACGTTCATCAATGATGAGCACAATCATTGCAATAAGTAGGTAGACAAGGCAGGCAACTATGACCATGGAGCGTTCCCCAATGGACTCCTCGTTTTGAAAATACAACCAGGTGAGTGAGGAGAGTAATTTGCTAAAGACACGATACCATGAATAAGTATATGTTTTTTTTAATGTATATGTCCTTTACTTACAGCGCAAAAAAGACAACCAACAGACACCAAATCATGCTCAGATTAACCTCATTTTTCAAAGGAAAATAGTAGTGATAGATCTGTGGGAAAACATTGGTTACAATGCAAACATTACACGCCTGAATTTCATTACCTCGGATAATATATACACAAGGGCTGAATAAACGCTGAAGTCCACCAACCACTGGTATTCTGTGAAATACCTGAGATGTACTACGTCTCGAGCCACCACCGGCGTTTTCTCCAATTGCACTTCCAAGTTGCGTGGTATATGAAACTGCCCGCTACCATTTCGCGCATCATACTTCTTATTTCCTTTATTACCACCACCTTTCGTATGCTTCTCCTTAGGTACACCAGCTAGCGTACGCAGCTCATCATCTGAAGGATGTAGATATCTATATAGACCCGTGGCGCATAATATCCACTTGGCGAAGGAAAAATGTGGACTTAGCTTCTGTATAACGCTCAATGTTAAGAGCGTCAGTACCAGCTGTGCACCAATCACTGCCTGGAAATTTATAAATAAAGACACAATATAGAGAGCTCGTATTATTACTTAAGTGCAGCGCAGCACCACCGAAGTCTGCAGCCAACGTTGCTACGTTGCTATCAATCTATTTTTGGAAATATTTTCATAAATATTTCGTGCATATTGTGAAAAAATTTGCGTTTCCTCTATTTTTGGGTTAACGTTTACAGAATTTTTTTGACTAGAAATACACACTTTACACGTACCATTTTCGGCTTCTTAATAGTGTTATGCTCATCTGCTAATTAATTCATAACTAACGTGTTAATTAAAAACGGAAATTGCGCTATTTAGGAACTACAACGATCAAAAATGGCTGGACTACGATTGCTCCTGCAACCGGGAAAGAAGGCACAAAAATAAACCAATGACAGCTGTGAGCGGTGCTGCTTGCCTCATATTTCTACGGGGATAATTTGAGGGCACTTTCAAAAAGCTCTTATTCCACATGCTCGAAATGTTCCTCTGCTTGCAAGAGAAGTGTTCTGAAGATTTATCTTTAAATTAATTTTTGTTTAAACGAAAAACTCTGAAAACCCGATACCGATATTTAATTTTTTATAGAGCTGCGTATTTTGTTACGATTCTTGATCCATTGTGGACGATCCAGTAATGTCAGAAGAAGCAGCATTCTTATCAGCATGCAATCAATCAATACAGCTGTTCCTTCGTCAAATGAAACCGCAATTACTATACAATTTTGATCATTTTCCACACAAAATAAAGGAAATGGAAGTAAATCCCATTGCGGTAATGCTTGTTTACATGGACAGCAAAGGTGATCGTCTATTGTTTCGTTATCCCTACGAAAATGGTTACAAAGGTAAGTTTCTTATGAAAAAAAACAAAACAACAAAAAATTCGCATGATTCACGCCCCACTGCCTTAAACACAGATAAGACACCGTTACAAGGTTTGCCACTCGCTGCTTCGGCGCCAGTTTTGAATAATCCTCCCCTGGTTGATGTACCAATGAGCAGTTCAACTACATCACTAGTCTCACAAATTTCCTCGGAGACTTGCAGAAAGCGCAATCCATATGCCATTAGCAGTAGCGATGAACTACTACAGACTGTGCCTCCACCAAATGTTGCACCTACCACCGTATTCGGTGTTTGCAATAGCGCAATGTGTACTACAGTACCGAAGGGACAGCTGGAGGGCTTCACCGATGAAGTTCTCTCCACGCTATTTGCTGTAAAGCAGCAGTTGTGCAACCAAAAACTGGAATTAAAAGTAAATGATGTGCGTTTCGTATCGCACCCTACGTTAATACCACGCACAGAGCAACGCAGTAGCGGTGGAAGTAGTCTCACTGCCAGCACTAATGTAAGCACCACATCTGCGAATATGCCACTTGCTGGGTCAGGCCAGGGCGTGCCTGGTGGTAGTACAACAACTTCGGTACTAATGTTGCCCCAGCCGAAATCTCAGCCGCAGCAAATGCTTATAAATATAGTATTTGCCTTACATGCGCAGGCCAGTTACTCCATAGTAAAGTGCTATTATGAACTAAGCAAACGGCTGGGTTTGGCTTTACGTGTCGAGGAGCAACGTACTGGCTACTGCACCGAGGAGACCATGCTTATGGCACGCACACATGACGAACTGTCGTCACAACAACAGCCGTTGGAGCGTACCTTTGATGCCATCGCCGAACGCAGTACTTTGGCGCAAGCGCTCAAGTCAATCTATCATGATTTATGCACAACTGGGTTGCTGAATACAACTTTAAATCAGTACTTGACAGTGAGCTTCTGTCTGCCTCAGAAAGCGCATCAGTTGCACAAAAAGGGCAGCATGGTTGACCCGGAGGCTATAGACCGCTGTTTGCGTTCGTTAAAGCCCTATCATGGTATGTTGCTCGTTGACTATGCCGAGTTGCTCGATTGCGTGCCACCGCGTGCAGCGCGCATGCTACTACAGCTAGTAGAAATCTACACACCTTTGATGAGTTTGCAAATGCTTGCCTCCGAGGCAGATATGAGCATTGAGCAGGTTTACAAAATGGTTTCACACTTGGTTTACTGGGGCAAGGCGACTATTATATATCCACTCTGCGAAACGAATGTTTATGTGATTGCCCCCGATGCGCCGTTGCATACAAAATCGCATTTAGTGGAGAAGTTCTCGGCGCGCTTTGCTGGCATGTCACTATTTGATGCCATTTCACATTTTTCGCTCCCTACTTCCATTGGACATTTGACCACACCGCTACAGCAGTCAGCGCGACAAGGCATGCTCGCTCAAATGGTTGTGTGGATGCTGCAGCATCATCTGCTTATGCAATTACATACTTATGTACAGTTTATGCCCAGCGATTTTGATGATTTCTATGGTGGTGTGAGCACGATGAATGTGGCAGGCAGCGAATGTTCGGGGTGTAGCGATGCTGAAAATGAACACAAGTCATCGCTAATGGATTTGCAAGAAGGCACCAATACAATCAGTTCTATGGGTGTCGGCAATGCAGGCGAATTGATGATATCGCCGCTGAGTAGGAGCATTAATGTCAGCGATGATGAGCTGTGAGTAGCCAGGCAGTTATGTTCGATAAAATTTGTATAGTTTTTATAAATTTTAATTTTTTTGCAGCAACGCTGGCTCACTGCTCTCATGCGCCAGCCAACCGCTGCCAGTGCCGCACACCAGCCATCGTTCGATTACTGATGATCGCTACTCTGGCGGCTGTTCAACAGCATCAGACAATATAGTGGCGCAGCCTTCGTCTAGTCACAAATCCAATTTTAGGTAAGCGTGCTAAATTAAAAATAAAGTAGTATGAAATCATGTCTATCTACCTTGTACAGCATGACCGCCTCCATTAGCACTGAAAACTGCGAAAGCATTGCCTCCATCGAGGATGAAGAGAAAATCAAAGAACTGCTCTCCGTTTTCAATGAAGCGGATCGTGCGGCTATAAGGCGCATACCTGCATCGTCGAATGTGGATGACCTTTCTTTGTTGGTTAAACTTTATCAAGCGGGTTATTTCAAAAGTGAACATCACCTAGAGGAAATTATGTACTTTCAAAGTTTGCGTCCAGCCGAATTGCTGCAGCTGCTAGATAAATTTCGTGATGTGCTAATAATCTATGAGACTGAGGATCCTGCTATTGCATCGATGTACAATAATAAATAAAGCGCGAGTGATTGAAATGGAGGAAACATAGGTGGTATGCGGGCGCTAGTGCTTGAAAAAGTGAATTGAGCAACCGAAATGCAAAATGGCCTGGGTGCGCAGCATAAACTGCAGTTTTTTCGTTGTAATGCAATTTATATTTTTTTAAGTTTTTTGCTAGGTGCGTAGTAAAGTGAAATACAAATTAAAAACTACAATTATTTTTTTATAATTTTTTAATTTTATTTTTTTTCTCTGCTTGTTAAAACTAGTGTGGTTTCTTTTACTTGTTTTTTGTTTGTATAATTTTTATTTTTTCCTACAACAAAATACAAGTTTCAGAGTTTAATTAAATGTTTTCGGTTTTTGCACGTACAAGGAAGGGACGACAACAACGTTTACAGAGGAGTATATGTATAATAATATATATATTTCTACGTACGTTTTTATTATTTTGTTTTGATTTCTTTATAAGTTAGATTTACATTTAGAGTTTTACTTTTAGAAGTAGCTTAAAGTTTCTAACTTACATACACATACATATAGTAATATATTTATATAAATATTAGCAAGACGTTGAATAAGTTTTAATCAATAACGATTGCATCTGTTATTGTTGTAGTTAATAATGGTAGAAATATGTAGGTAGCAGTTTGCGTTAAAAAAATGTATGTTTACTATTGTTTCACATTTTTTGTTTTTTTTTTTACAAAGTGCACCATTGTGTATGTGTACCCGAATTTTTTCGTATAATCATTGATTAAACATAATATTTTGTAAATAAATTAGTGCCATTTTGTTTGATTTCTCTTCAATTTTGTTTCTGTTATGCTACTAAGTGATCATCTAACAAGTTTTCGGGGCTTTTGTCTCGCCCCGCCTGATGGCTGCAGTGTGCAGGATGCATTGCTTAGTTTGCTTAGATGAAATTAGTTTTTATTGCGTGTTTATTTTCTCTGCACTGTCTATGTTTATTGTGTGTGTGTGTATGAGTATAAATTTTTGTTTTTTGTTCGCCCTCCTTGTTTACAACAATTTATTCTTAAGCCGTTTGCTGTTTTTTTTTGTTTGTTTGTTTAAGAATTGCTTAAATTTCTCTCTTAACCAGTTAGTTTGCCTACTTAATTGCCTTACTGTGTTTTTATTTTTTGTTGCTGTTGTTTGTTTAGAATAATAAAAAAAAACATCTAACATCTTCTGCACGACGTTTGGAATCCTACTTTTTAATCAGTTCGCCTTATTCACCGTCCGTTCAATGAAAACGAATCACGTTGCATTGTTGCTCTCGCCGTTACTGTCGTGGAAGTTGGAACCATTTACTATAAATGATGTGCCAAGTCCATAGAGATGTCCGCAGTATTTGGCATTGTCAATATTATCCTCAAAGAACATCTGTAGTGAGGGAAAAGAGATGCGAAATAAAATTTAGGTTGAGAGTTTCGACGGCGCAAAAAGGAAATACCGGACAAATTGTTAGTTTTAAATAAAAAAAAAAAAGTTAAAATAGTTCTAAAAATATATAAATCTATACAAACAAAAATTAATTATAAATATTTTAGGTTATGTAAAGATGAATAGAGTAATTTACTTCTACAAAGTTGAAGTATAACAAAAAAAGAAAAGTTTATGCATTTTTTTATTTTTTTTTATTTCAACTATCCTCTTTGAATGGCTGGCTCACAAAATTGTCTCCTTTATTCGTGAAGTAAACGCGGCGGCCGCTATGGTGTAGTGGTAAGCAGTGCGCGCTTCCACTCCGCAGGGCCTGGGTTCAAGCCCTGGTCAAAGCAACATCGCAAAAAACTTAGAGAAAAGTTTTTTTTTTTAACAGCGCCAATCTATAATTATTATTATTAAATGCGATTCAAAGTGTCGTGTGTTCTGAGCTTAAGATAATATGCAATATTTCTTCAAAGTGCCGAAACCTAAAGTTCAGAAACGTATCTAACTGTCGAAATAATTTTGAAATAAAATTTTGAATTTTCCACACTTTTCGTGGTCAAGAGAACATCTTATCATATTTGACGTTTCTGAATTACTTGGGATTGAGAAAAAACAGTTGCTTAATCTAGTAATTTTTTTTATGCAAAAAGATATTTGTTTTTATTTAGCAAAACAGAAAATTATTAACATTTCTAAAAATGTATACTGTGCACAAAAGCCTAAAAAATGTTCGATTAAAACTAAACAAGTTGATAGAACATAAAGTCAGCTTAAAAAAAAATTTGCAATAACAAATTTTTTTATATTAAGTATATTTAGGAATTGTGCTCAAAACGAAAGACAAGAAACAATTAAAATTTTTAAAGAAATATAGCAGCGTTTCACAAAAATATATTTTTGCAAAAGAAATTAATTAAAAACAAAATAGTAGCAGAATTTGCATAAAAAAATATTATGTATCAAAGGTAAAACTATAAATAAAGTATAAAAGCTTTAAAAATGTCAAATAAAAAATAACAAATATAACAATTTTGGATTTTAGACTTTTCTACAAAAAATATATGTACGTTTCAAAGAAAACAAACAAAATATTTTAAAGGTAAAAATTTAGCAGCCAATTTAGCAGACTTCCACAAGAAATATGTACATACGTTTCAAAAACAAAAAAATGTACATGGAAAAATTTTTGAAGTCTATAATTTAAAAACAAAAAAAAAACCTGATGTAAAAAATTTTGTCATTTCTCTGCTAAAAAATAAAAAAAGGATGTAGAAATTTTTGAATTTTTCTCCACAAAAATTTGTCACGCTTCCATAAAGAAATACAAAGAAAAAATATAAGATACACAAAAATAGTAAATAAAAATTTTCCCAAAAGAAATACATGAAAAATATATAAAATACACAAAAACAGTAAATGAAAAATATTTTCGAAAATTTCCGTATTTTATAATTTAAAAATAAATAAAAAATATTAAAAAAAAAATAGTTTTTGCTGCAAAAAAAGGAAAAAGTATGAAAATTTCAGAAAAAAAAATATGCTCCAATAATTTTTGGCAACCTTTTGTGACAACAAATATCTATCCATAATTTTTAAAGATTTTTTATAAACATACATACATATGTATATAAATAAAAAAGTATGTAATGACTAAAATTTGATAAGTCTTTTCTGACATTTACTATGTCATTCCAAAACGTGAGATAAGCAAAGAAACATTTTACGGAATAAGATTTTTTAAGGTTTGGGTTGGTTTTTTTTTAATGTTGTTTCGTAGAAAAAAAATTACATAAATAAAGCCTGATTATGGGCATAAAAATAAAGGCCGAAAATCACGGAGCTTTTTTCCTTGAAAAAAAAAAATATTTTAACTGTTTTTTCAGATTTTTCTGATGTCATTGTTGCGCTATAATGTAATAATGTTTTAGAAAAAATGTCGGTACTTTGCTTTTGCTTACTGCCCTTTGAATTATAAATATGTGTTACTTTTTTTTACAAGCTCGAAAATTTGAGTTTTATTTAGTAGGTAGGCCTCGACTTGTTAATTAAATAAAAAAATTCAATAGGTACAATTTCTTAAAATTCTCTGCAAATTTAAGCATAATTGCCTAAAAATTTAGAGAAAAAAGTTTGAAAGATTTTGAAAAAGAATTTTCAAATGCGTACTGTAAAAAATCAATGCCCTCTTAATTGTTTCTCGACAGTTTTATAATTTGTTTGCATTGCTTTGAATTTAAGTTAACTGTAAGTTTTTAATTCTGGTACAAAAACTTCAACTTTGTTGTTAAAAAAAAAGCGATGACAAAATTTTTATTGACAACAAAAAATCTTTTGTTGTAAAAGTTGAAGATCCAAGGCAGCAACAACCATTCTCAAAGTTTTACACATTTTTTTTAATTTGTATTTAAAATGTTTTGCAAGATTTCGAGAATACCCCTATTAGATTTAACTTTTATGCCGAATTCCCACCAAGCATTGAAATGACAAAAACAAAAAAAAATTGCCCCATTAAAAAAATGCCATGACTATTTTTGTTAACGTAATGACGGGGTATTTTTTATGCCGCATTTCCACTAGGAATTAAATTACAAATATTTTAATGAAAAAGCTGGTCATTCGAAAATACGCGCATCATTGCGTTCATAAAAAGAAGTCATTAATGCCGATTTTCTACTAGGTATTGAATGACAAAAAATTGATGCCATTAAAAATATGCCATGTGGAAATATGCCTAGTGAAAATTCAGTTAAGCTCTTTTTGAAACGCCATTTTTAATGGCACAAATTCTCATTTCATGTAATTAAAATTTTTTGTTATTTAATATTCCGGGTGGAAATCGGGTATCAAAAACGGAAATTTTTTATTAGAAATATAAACAATCTGTACTGAGTAGCGTTCTAGGCAGAATCAAAGCATAATTTCTTGAACTTTTTTTTTTTGCTCAATTTGCCATAATAAATGTAAAGAATTTGTTTACAGATTTTGATTAAAAAAAGATAAAGGAAATAAACAAATCATTCGCAAATAGCGATTCAGTGATATGAAATAAGATATGAATCAAATAAAAATAAAATAAATACAAGATATAATTAAAAATAAACAAGAAATTAAAAGAAAAGATACCAAAAAAATTTATTATATAAGAAAAACACCAAGAAAATAAAAACTTAACAAACCAGAAATTAAAAGGAAAAAGGCAAAAAAAAATGTATTACATAAGAGAAACACCAACAAGTGAAACAATATATACTCTTCAGCAATAAACTATTTAAAAAATAATTTTCACCCACAATTTTTTTAAATCAATACCAGAAGTCAGCCACTGTTTTAATAGTCGTAAAAATTAAAAAAAAAATATAAATTTCATTTTAAGGTAATTTCCATTACAAATATATACAAATTTCTTTCCAAGCGGGTTTTATAAAAATATCGGATTTATGGTTTTTTAGGTTAAACGTTTATTTTTTATAATAAATTCTTTACTTATTATGGTATTCTAAATTAGTTAAAGCTATATAATTAAACTATGTACTTCGATTAGTGTGCAATTTATGTATATATTTCAACCAGAGAGAGCAAATGTTTGTAGTTTAATTAATTCTAGTTTTTCAAAATCACCTACGCGAGAGTCGACGGCTTAGATCGAATAACATAGTTAAAGTTTGTGTGTATTTAATAAAAAACAGCTACTTGAAAATGTTGCCTTCAATATGCACGTGACGCGGGATGTTTTTTATTTATTAAAAATTATGCTTACATTTTCTTCAAATTCTTTATTTCTTGTAATGCTTATACAAAATCACTAGGCTCGGTTTACTATTTGAAGCTGTACACGGTTCGGAACTAATTTATTAAAAAAGGTAAAATTTTTGCGAGTTTTGAGCAACTCAAATCGTCTAAAAAATGTAAGTTGCTATCAGATTTCGATTAAGCTGGTTATATAATTGAAACGATAGTAGACTATACAGCAAGTGATCAAAAAACTTGCCATAATTTTCCCATAAAAAATTGTAAGACCGTTATTGAAGTATGCGATAAAAATGTAATTTTTGTGTACCATTATTTTCCCATACAAACTTAAAATTTGTCATCTTATATAAAAGCAAAAGGTCCTTTAACTTGCACAATTTTTGCTCCGATTATGTCAGTAACACTCGATAATCTTTTAGCTCTGTGAAAATTTTGTGAAAGCAAATAAATTTCAAAATTATTGAGTGCTATAGTTTTAAGAGGATTTTTTTTTTTAGAATTAGCGAATGTATTCGATTTATAGGATTTTTTTAAATGAAATTTTTTGAATTAGTTAACACTTTGCAGCTCACCAATTAAAAAAAGCCTTGCGGTTAGAACGAACTGCAATTATTTCTATAAAAAGTTTCTGAAGTTTGTGTTGAAATCGCTATAAAAAAAAAATTTTAACCGGCGCCCTAATTTCTACCGATTGAAAATTTTAGTAGATATCTTGCCATACTAATTTTAGTATGCCAAAACTCCCCTATAAAAAAGTTGTATGGTACACAAAATTTTGGGACCCTATTAAGACACAAATGTCAGCGTAGAAACCCTAAATCTTCTTCCATAACTTCAGTGTATGCAGTTTTACTTCCGTCTGTTAGTAACTTATCTTTATAGCATTAGGTTCGAGTAATCGTAATTCGCAAAAGAAAAGAAAAGTAATGAAACCGTTCGTGATTTAACACAAAAATTTAGATTGAAATAATTATAAAAAAATTAAGGCGTTTCGTTAAAATAACATTTTAAGTTTGAAGATAATATCTAGAAAACATATTTACATATCAAAGTAATACACGTTGATATGAAGAATTAAAAGATTGCAATTAAATGAAAATGTTAAATACGTACCGTTGAAACGATGCTATCATATGAACAAATTAACTGTGAAATAAAAAATTCTTCAACATAACTGTTCCAAAAAATAATGAAAATTTTAAAGAAATAAATTTCATCTAAATTGTAGAAAATTACATTTTAACAAATACAATTTGACGAATAATTATAAAATTATTAAATTGTAGGAATAACCTGGCGATACGAGGACATAGCTCCCTGCCATTTAAACACATACAGAATTAATATAATTTGGCGCAAAATTAATAATTATTAAATTTGAGGAATAACACAACACTTGTGAATCGTAAGGTTTCCAACCAAAAATCACAATATACATTTTAAAATTATATAACATTTCATAAGAAATAAAGAATTGAAGACGTAAGCATGGCAGAAACTTTTGCACGTGGTTCTGGTCCTCAGCGGTATTACCATACGTGTATCAGTGGAGCAACGTTGGACATACCTGAAGATTATTCACAGCAGTTGGAATATAACATACTACGAGAAATAACTTGACTATAGGGACTATTGGGTCCCTCGTCATTGCTTTAGAGCCAAAAAATAATAATATAGCAAAGATTTCAAAAAAAATATTTACTAAGTTTTGACATTTCATAACTCGTCGTTTCTTCATTTTCAATTTTCATTTCTTCAGCTTACTCCAAATGCTATAATTTTGTAGAAAAAAAATGCTATACAAATTTTGAAAATATGGAAATAGCTATCACTTCTACCGTTTTTTTTTTCTCAAAATTATTGTAGCTTTTCCCCAATAGTTTTTCATTAAAAACGGCCTCAAGCTCAATAAAAATTGTTGAATATGGAAAAAATTCAAAATAGTAGGTATTTCATGTTTTTACTATAATATATATTATAGTAACACTTTACAACAAATTTTTAAATTGCTGCTTGTGGATTATGTCTATTTTTGATAACATATTTAGCTGACCCCGTTAATTGGAAAACTCGAAAATATAAAAAAGATAATGGTGAAGTTTTTGGGTTTTTCCAATTTAAACTTTCATTTTTTTTTCATCTTCGAAAGAGGGACCTAAAAACTTTAATAAAAACACGCTCCATTGCAACTTTTTCTATTCATAATCAGCAAAGCTATTGAACTTTTAGTACCAAAAATTCAAAGCAATTGAAGCTTGCTACCCGCCTCTCTTCAGCTACTAGATTATAGTCAAATACAATAGCTTACTTTACAGATTCCATGCTGTTCGTTTGTTTTGCTCCAAGAAATGAAAACTCAAAGTGATAGTTTGCTTTATTTCGCATTTTTTAATTAACAACAATAACAAAAAATGTTTCCAATTAAATTCAACATTTTTTTTTGGAATTTTTGCAATAATTTTTGTTAATCAAGAATTCAATTCAATTCAACGAGTGTAAATATTATTAAAAACTAATAAAATTATAGTAAAATAATAATTTGCAAAAAAAGAGGAAAAATAACAAAACAGAGTATGCGCAAAACTTAAATTAAAAAATTATGGTTTCGTTTCTGAGTAATTCAAAATTGGACAAAAATACTGTTTGATTTGGAAAACACAAATTATATATTATACTATAATTTACTAATAAACGTGTTTTGTGAAAAAATTTTTAGTTGCACCATTGCAGGTAGCCAAAAAAATGCTTTCATTCACAAAAAGTTTTTGTCGAATTTAGATAGATAAAAAATAATTCAATGCGGAAGTTCTTATAAAAAAAAAGGTTTGGGAAATTAAGTGTTGCAAACTCAACGGTGAGTCATAAATATCAATTTTGGAGTCTTGGAAATTAGGGAACCATTTTTAAGGAACCGAATGAGTTTTGTAAAGGAATGATTTAAAAAAATGATGTATGTGTTATATTCAATAAAACTTGAATTATTTTTTTATGCGCTTGATGAAAATTAATGCCAGCAGAAATTTAACAAAATAAGTGTTTGTTTTCTAGGCTAGAATGAATTTTTATTCGAGAGACTACCGATGAATTCTTTAGAAAAAAGTAGCAAAGGTTTGGTGTGAATCTCTGCTGTTGATTTTTTTGAACTGAATGAATACTAGGCAAATAATTATGAGATTCCGGTAAGTAAAAAGGCGTAACGCGTACCTTCGCTTGAAATCATTCGATTTTAAATAGTTGCCTATGCGAACAGCACTTACAAAATCGAAGAAATAACAAATGCCTCAAAGACCACAGCTTTCTGAGCGTCATAGTTTTGAAGAAATGTTACTTTTTAATTATTACAAAAAAATTAAACTTCAATAAAAATTTTAATTCAGCTCAAACAAGTTAAAATATCAAATGCTAAAAGCTATGACTAAATAAAAACTTATAATTTTAAATGTTCAATAATGCATTTTGAAACGCGCAACTTGCACAATAATTTACCCCTAAAAAGTGCTTCTAAGATATGAAAATTTTTGAAAGCGACTAAAAAAAAGGCAAGACCGAAATGCATGATCAAAAAGCGAGTTCGGAAAGTTTGTGAAATGAAATCAATAATACATTTAAAGCGTATATAAGATTCGCACAGAGTACGTTTTTGTGCAAACAATAATGCTTCATTGAAAAACAGAAAGAAATGTTAAACAAATTAAATTATCAATGTTTTGTGATATACTTTTGGCAACAAACGTCACCTGATCAATCGTCTTGCATTCAATACAATACAGCCAACAAAGCCTATGCACGATTCGTATTAATTGGCAATGAACACATGAGGGAATAAATAACTTATTGTTTCTTTCATTTTTTGTTTTGTTTTTCAAATTTAATATGATTTGTAGGCATTTGCAGTCTTTTATGGTGCACTGACTGCATTTCAAAGCAGTTAGTCAAAAATTGTGTGACGCCAATTAGCGCGGCGACAATTAATCGCCATTGAGAAAAGTAAAAACCAAAAAAAAATTGTTTCGAAAATAAATTCAACAAGAACATGACTTAAGTGAAATGTGTGAAAATTAACGTTTTCATGTTAATCGAAAATGCATTTTGTTTGCTCGACATTGAATTGAAAGTTGAATTGAATTTTCATGTTCTCTAACTTTTAAGGAATTATTTGTGTTTATGTTTTAGTTGTTAGACGCAGCTAACTCCTCGAAAATCGCTTCGTTCTCTTGTTTTGCGTTTTTTTAATATGCTCTTTCATTTATAACGTTTCATTATGCTTTCTTTCTCTTCTATTATCTATCCTTTTTTCTTCTTCTGTTTTGCGTTTTCATTTCTTTAAACGTTGTTATTGTTGTTAAACTCGACGGCATAGTCGAGAAATGTCGATGTCGGTTCAATAATAAAATTCTTATTGTCATTATGTACCTCACGCATTTTGAAGAATGCCATTCCGGTGAGCAGCGCATCAGAACCGGCCTGATGTTGTGGCCCGACACGTCGCAATTCCAATTGATCGGCCACCTCTTGTAGGCCACCTTTCAAATTCTTACACGATTTCATCAAATATTTAATATCGTAAATGTTGGGAAAATAGATGCGTAACAATTCGAAAAATTCACTCTCATCTGAGGGTAGATTCTGATCGGTTAATAATTTGAGTAAATAACCAAAATCGTAGCCTGAATGAAAACACAGCCATTTAATATTATCGACAAGCACAATTCCCGAAGACATTAGCAATTCGGCGAAATCGAGTGGATCAATACCATCCTCTTCATGTTTTTTGAATTGTATGCCGGAGTTTTGCAGCAAATCAATTGAGTCTTGCGCGTACATGTCCTCACTGTGAACGAAAAAATAAACAAAACAATCGTTACTAGAACATTTTAAACCATATTCCACATTAACCTTAAATTAAATTTAAAATTAAATTGCCATGTTGAGTAACCAGGCGGTGTTTTGCCTTCTTCATCCATGAACGTCAGTCCAAGCTGTATGATGCGCAGCAGATCAACATTACAACGCAGCAGCTGATAGTGGTAATCAGCGGTGGAACGAAATTCACCAACAGGACGCGCTACAACGCCTGGAAATTCAGTGTCCATCGCCACATAATTATACTTTTGCACGACTTTGCGAATTGTACGAAATTCTTCCTCTAAATTATGCTTCCAAACGTCGCGTATACCGCACTCCTCATTGTTGGGTATATTCACGTTGTGACTAACGGCGCCTGAGCCGTGTCCGGTACCGCTTATGGCAGAAGGCATTGCCTGCAAAAAGAGATTCGGACGCTATATTAGCACAAATGATTGATTGTGGTTACAAATAAATCAAAAAGAATGAATAATTAAAATAAAAACCAATTACCAAGGTAAAAAGCGAGTACAACAAATAAATAACAAAAATAAATAAGTTTATTAGAGTGTCTGATTCAATTTCTGTGAATTGTTATTAGCAGCGCTGATAGCAAATTTTCCAAGTGGTTCGCTTGTTTTCAAATATAAAGACGATCATTAACCGAAAATTTTGCAGATTTTAGCAGCTGATGCTGGAGAAGCATCAAGTATTGATTGAAAATTCTACGAAATATTGAGCCAGATGATACTGGTAAATAAAAGCTACATACATAAGTACATACATAATTAAGCAAACGTGGATCTATGCTTGGTACATAGTTATTTCATCGTTTGGATACATCTTTTTTTTTGTAAAAAAGAAATAGATCGGCCAAATACTAACATACATATGTGTAAACGCCAATCTATTATTATTAAAGAAATAGTGGAACTCTGAAAATGCATTATTTTGCGTTGAATATCAATGCCAAGCACAAACACATTTTTTTGTTTGGTGATTAATCCGACAATATGACATTATGAATTCTGGTACGAATTTCCGTAATCTTACATATGCATATGCAAACTAAATTCGACAGGGGATGTAGAAAATGATTGTGTATCAAACGATCTAGTTATTCTGTTGTTTTGTTAAATTTTCTCATGTTAGCTGTGTATATTTTTATGTACATTTAAACAAAAATCGATGTAATATGAAATTATTACGATTTTTTTTGTCATGTTAAGGTATGGAAATGGAGCTTTTTTTGTATAATTTTTAGGGTAAACGCAAACAAAAAGTTAAATACTAAAACAGCCAGCTAACAAACAAATTTGCGTAAAGCAAGCGTGCATGTTTGTGAATTCCACTTGAAAGCGGCCCACTGTACAGGAAGGCCAAATGCTCATGTCGCTACACTACTTACATCAGCTGTTGTAGGCTTTGCTGTTGCTGCTGTTTCAGCCACGTTGCTTCAAAACGACTTTATATACAAAGATTTCACTGCTAAGCGTATTTGATAAATTTTGAATTTTTTTAACTCTTGCTATCTTTTTTTCGTTCCTCTGCAAGAATCACAAAAAATTTCTTTCGCGGCGCGGTATATTCAAGAAATTATTTAGTATTTTTAATCGGGTCGGTTCGGAATAGCGTTTCTGAGTAGTGGTGGTGGAGGATTTAGAGACGTACGTTCTACCGGCAACCGTTTATTTTTATTTCGTCGCTACTTGATTGGATTATGCTTGTTTATTGGTTTATTTCAAACTTGATTTGCGCTTGATTGAAGCGTTAGCTGGGCGTATACCTGCAAGAGATTTAATACACACACATGTATACATACATCAATGTACATGAATATAAACAATACGTGAGAGATAAACATCTACCAAATTACATTTTTCAATAACTTGGCTTTAGCATTGAAACTTAAACTAATCGATATGTGCGTGCGTTTGCAAGAGATCAACATCTACAGCGGAAAAATGGAAAATTGTGTTGTGGCGTGTGAATATTTATCTGTTCACTGTTGCAAACAAGACAAGGTGCGAGCCAATTAAGTAAGATTTTTTATTTGATTTCAATTTAATCTATTAAAGTAGTTAAAGAACTATTTTTTTTAGGAGTTTTAGTAGTTTTGTCCATATTTGCTTGCCAATTCCACCACCGCTTTTATTGCTGCACATTACGTACTCGTCACTATATACTAAATATAATTTTCAAAAACGTATTATGTATTTTTGGCAAATTGTTTACACTTTATTTACACAAACATATCTTACCCATTTCATATTCCTTTCCTGGAAATTTCGAGAACTTTTAATTTTCAAATGTTTTTAGCCGTGCTTTAATGGTGCTTCCGCGAATGGCGGCGCCCGTCGTTTCTTCTTATGCCACTTCACTTTTCTCGATTCAATTGTCTCTGGTGTAATTGATTTGTTTTTAGTGGTACTTGATTAATTTGTGAAATTTTTCTTTACTCTAATGTTACACCAACTAAATATGTAAATATTTTTACAGTTTTTGGCCTTTTTTATGTAAAACCAAATGAAAATTAAAAGAAAATGTGTGCGCTATAAAATGTTCGCGTTTTTTCTTGGCTACAGCAAATAAAATTCACAATTCACGTCCGATTTTCATCACCCTTCTTCAAGCGTATATGTTTTTCTCGCTCTCCCCTGTGGGCATACATGAGCGAGCGATGTAAATGCAGTGAAAATCGCTGCACTGGATGTTGGGCAAAAAAGGTACACTACCTCGTGGCCTGCTTCTTCTTTTTCGGAGTTTGGGCAAAATGAATTTTAGACAGCAAATTCATGAACCAAAAATGCTTTTTAAACGAAAATACACCACAAATAAGGGCACATAAGCACGGTATACACTTTTACTACTTGTATGTATGTTAAATGCATATATTAAAACTCCACTATTTTTAAAAAGCTTTTTTTATAAAAGTCGATGCGCGGCGCTTTTGTTTATAAAAATCAATACTATACAATAAATAATGAAATTTCTAAGCAAAAATCGCGTGTGGCAGCACCGACATTTCAGTTCAATTGGTCTACAAATCAAAAAGTGAGGTTGAATTCGAAATTTTTTTGCAATTTTTTACTCAAAAACTACAATGGCCCCGCCAGAATGGGTACTTTGCGTACGTTCCGCTCAAGCATGAAACTGACAGTTGAGTAGACTGTGTGTGTTAGCATAGAGAGCGGCAGATTGGCAACCCTTGCGTCGACGGACCCAAGGAACGTTGGCCAACACTCAAGTTTTGACGCACGTAAAGCCTGCTATACAGTTCAATCAAAGAACGTAGATACATTCTTTGGTAACGTGTAAACAGTTGTAAAGCTTTTTATCAGGCTAACCTAATATTCGCGGCTTGCGTTTAGGTACGCACGCCGTAGCATTCTTTTTATTGCATCACCCGAAATTGACTTGCGTGCGTTTCCTTTATTTCATTGAGCGAAATGTCAAATCAAAATGTCACGCAGAACAAAAATTGGAAATTGAGTTAGCTTCATACGCACGCCGTTCAATTTCGGTTGGTCCCATACAAGTTGTATTTACATGAGAAATTTTTGACAGTAAAGTGGCGGCATGCGTGAATATTACTTGCTGTCTCCACAGGCAAAAGTTTTTATCTTGATAATGTTATCAGGCAAAATTTTGCCCATGGAGACCGCATATTGCTCTTGGCAAGCAATAATTATCAGAGCTTTTATCTTGATAAATATTGCCAGCAATTTGGTACTTTGACAGCTACATTTTCATTTGCGCGATAGCTTCGTGGAGACAACATTATCGATATTTCAATATAAAAGCAAAAATTGAACTGTTTTCTATTAGAATATGTGTTATTATTTGCTTGGGTGTGAAATAGCATATTTTTAAACTTTTTAAATGATGAAATCCGGCAAAAATTGCCATCTTATAAATGCTTTTATCAAGATAAAAAATGCCCACGCACAAATATTGCCGCTGATAAAATTTTTATCAGGCAATATAAATGACAGTTGGTAGGCAAAAACTTTTGCCTGTGGAGACGGGCCGTTAGGTTAGCCTGTTAATCAACAAGACTTGGCAGCACGGTTATAGGTGGTTTTTGTTTACATTTCCCCATCGCTGTCAAAATAACAGCTGACTGATTGGAAGCTGGCATCGAACGTGTTGCAAACGATTTTCTTCTGGTTAGGCGGCGTTGTTTTCTAATTAATTAAAGCTTGGAGTTCCTGCATTAAAAACTTAAGAAATGTCTTTAGCCGACGAACTATTGGCTGATCTCGAGGAAGACAATGACAACGAAATTGATGAGCTGCAAAATGTATGTAGATTAGACAAAAATTTAAGCCTTTTCAACGGTAGTGTACATTTTTGCAGATGGATGAGGATGAGGAGGCAGCGCAGGAGATAACAGAAAAGCTTCTCAAGCCACAGGTAAATCTCATGGAAGTTGATGTGCAGGTGCAATCCGTACGAGAGCTCTGCAAATTGCGCGACTCTGAACGTCTGCAGTACGTGCTGAAACAAATCGAGCAATATGGTAGCAGACAGCGTACCTCAGCGGAGATGCTGGGAAATGTGGAATCAGACCCTGAATATCAGCTTATCGTGGAGGCCAATGCTATAGCGGTGGATATTGATAAGAAATCTGTAAGTTTTATGCATACTAGGCTTTGCGTTTGTAATCGACTTCAAAAAAGGAGGCTATCAAAGCGTCGGAATATTTTTTTGGTACTGCATAACTTTGGACCACGTTAACCGATTTCGATAATTCTTTTTTCATCGGAAAGGTGGTCCCTTGATGGTGGTCCCATACTAATTTTTTTTAGATCCGATAAGTGGATCATGAAATTAACGGTACACCTAAATTTTTTTGTGGGAATTATTATTTCACCTGGGTTTTTGCTTAAAAATTGCTTGTTTTTTATTATTCTAGCAATTATACACAAATTTGCCAAAGAGAAATATCAAAAGCGTTTTCCCGAACTGGACTCGCTGATTGTTGGCGAAATTGAGTATTTGTATGCGGTGAAAGAGTTGGGCAATGACCTTGAGCAGGTGAAGAACAATGAGAAATTGCAGGCCATACTAACGCAAGCTACTATTATGATTGTGTCAGTTACAGCGTCAACAACGCAAGGGTAAGGAAATTTCAAATTTAAATTGATAATATGTACATACACACATATATAACAAATTCGTTCCTTTTTAGCACTGAACTGACACCTACCGAAAAGGCTCAGATTGATGAAGCCTGCGAAATGGCAATCGATTTGAACAATTTTAAATCACAAATTTATGAATACGTAGAAAGTCGCATGACCTTTATTGCGCCCAATCTTTCCATGATCGTGGGTGCATCGACCGCAGCAAAACTGCTGGGCATAGCTGGTGGTTTAACAAAACTATCAAAAATGCCTGCTTGTAATGTACAAGTGTTGGGCTCACAAAAGAAAACTTTATCTGGGTAAATTAGAGTTATGTTTATTGAAAATTTAGGATTAATGACATACGTACATTCTACAGTTTTTCGAAAACGCAAATGCTACCACACACAGGATATGTTTACTTCTCACAGATTGTGCAAGATACATCACCGGTTGGTAGAAATACTTTAGATATTTATTTTCATACTACTAAACTCTTTCGACAATTATAGGATCTTCGTCGCAAAGCATCGCGTTTGGTTGCTGCCAAGGCCGTACTTGCTGCACGCGTAGACGCTTGTCACGAAAGTGTGCATGGTGAATTTGGCTTGAAGTTCAAAGAAGATATTGAGAAGAAGCTGGATAAGTTGCAAGAACCACCGCCAGTTAAGTTTATCAAACCACTATCCAAGCCGATTGAGGGTAGCAAGAAGAAACGTGGTGGCAAGCGTGTGCGCAAGATGAAAGAGCGTTATGCACTCACAGAATTCCGCAAGCAGGCGAACCGCATGAACTTTGGCGATGTAAGGGCAATTTGGTTTTGACTCAAAAGTCAATTTGCATATTTAAATTAACCAATTTTTAAGATCGATGAGGATGCTTACCAAGAGGATTTGGGTTATACACGCGGTACGATTGGGAAAACTGGTACTGGCCGTATACGTTTGCCACAGGTGGATGAGAAGACTAAGGTGCGCATCAGCAAAACGTTACAGAAGAATTTGCAGAAGCAACAAGTCTATGGTGGCAGCACGACAGTGAAGCGACAGATTTCCGGAACTGCTTCAAGCGTCGCTTTCACCCCTTTGCAGGGATTGGAAATCGTTAATCCGCAAGCTGCTGAGAAATCTCAGGCTGAACAGAACGCAAAATACTTTTCTAATACGTCTGGTTTCATATCTGTAGGCAAACGAACCACTTAAAATGCTACCAATAAATGAAGAGTAATTAATTCAATTAAATAGTATATTTTCAAATTTTGGCTAAAATAAAGTATATCGTATTCGATTAGTCAATACATTAATAACGATATAATAAGCAATAAACAGAGACAAAAACAAAACTGAAATGGAAATTGTCATACAAAAATTAAGCATATACATACATACATATATAGATTAAACTACAGCGTATTACAATGGCGAGATTCTGAATAAAAAAAATTAGCACCGTAATGTGCAAATATTTATAAACATACATTCATACATAGATATACACTTATAAAAATGTAAAAGCCAAATTTTCGAAAGAGCAAAGATAAACTGCAGTCTGTTAAATTCTTGTTGGAATTAAAAAAAGTAATAATGTGGAAAGGTAGATTATGCTTTGTGTGCATTGTTAACTCAGCTTGCCTATTTCTAATTTTCGTTGCAGCGCCTCCAATGAATTGTTTAGAAAGACTGCAATAATTCCGGCAACTGTAAAAACGCCACCAATTATGGAACAACAGTTTGTAGCAAAGTGACCAAATGATCTGTAACGCCATTAAAGAGTAAAATTAATGGGCTAATAAGAGTATGAGAACTAGAGAAAAACTTTGTAGTACCTTTGCTTCTCTTCGTACTTGACCATAAGTGGCGATAGCTCATAACTGAAGAATATACCTGGCATGCCACGCTCCTTATTTGAAAGGTCCTTTTTGTAGCGCGTCACCGAGAACTGATTGGTGTGTATGGGCGGGCTGTTCGCTTTCACATACATAGTAGGCACAATTTTTAGATAGTAATTGTACATCTCGCTTTTCACAGCTGTAATGGAATAAGAGCGTTTGTTTTTTATTGATTTAGAAAAATACATTTACTTTATTCAACTTTTGTCCGTTAATAGGTTTGTTCGTCGAGCAAAAAATTTGTACGAATTTGTACGAATTATCACGATTTTTGCCCAAATCGCGTTCGTGCAGACCAAAAAATTATCCAACACTCAAAAATTGTGAGAGCAAAGTGACAGTTCTCTTGGAGAGAAGTTGCAAATTCTTGCTGGAAAAAATTTTGCCAGCAAGAATTTGCAAACACGAAAAACATGTGGTTGTGGCGCATGGTTGCATTTTTGTCTACAATAATTTGAATAAATTAGTTCGTTAAATTTAAAAATTTATAAACACGAGCGATTTTTTTATGAAAAAAGGAAGTAAATAATTGTTGATATTGTGTTGAGTTGTGTTGAAATTTTTTATGTTTGAAATGCAACCGTGGACGCCAGCTGGCACCGAAACTTGCAAATTCCTGCAAATTTGCGTTCGTGCAGAAATTTGCAAGTTTCTCAACATGAGAGAGAATTTGAGAGAATTTTTTCTTACTCTCTGATATTTTGAGTGTTGGATAATTCTTGCTGGATTTTCGACGAACAAACCTAATATCACTTAACTACTAGAGGGCGTTATAGTCAAGAATGATAGAATACAAGATTGCGCCGTCCTGGGCGTTGACATTTGTGTACCACAAGTAAACAAAGAATAAAGCGAAAAGAAGAAAGAGTTGAAACTGCCAAAACAGTTCACTTTACAGCGAAAAACGTGTTTTAATTTTGCTAAATGCGAAAATATTGCATTTTTCACCTAATCTATTAGAGAACAGTGAATATTTTAGTGCACTCCATTGCTTCGCAATTGAGGCTGCCTCAGCAAACGTCTTAGTGCACTCCATTGCTTTGCAATTAAGGCTGCTGCAGAAAACCGCGGTGCGGCAGCATCTCAGCGGGATTGATTGGTTAACTTGCTAATGGAGGCTGCTTGGAGCAGAAGCAAAATCATTGTGAGGAAATGCTGTTAATGTAATAATAAAGAAACATTTCGAGAACGGCTTTGCCGTGCCCTATGTACACAAAATGCAGCGATTCGTTCCAGCGCTACACTAGCATCTACGCTTCTTGCATCTTGACGGCTGTCGCAATTTAACACACATCACTTCATTGTATTAGTTTTTACGAAGTCTTCAACTCAAAAATCACTCACAAATTGCAAATTAACACAATTTAAACTGATTTTTCACTTATAATTCAAATTTCTCTTTTGCTGATTTGTAAACAAAGGTTTATTTACAAGTTACCACAAGTGTCAAAATCGGCAAAGCCAAAGTAGCGGTACCACTGACGGCGCCACCTTTGTTCGCTGCACCGTGCGTTATAGTCACTTCCTATAAAATCAGCTGATAAACGGCACACAACTAGTGCATTTCACCACATCAAGCGGTTGACTGATTATTCACCACAAACACGCATTTGACATTTCATAGAGAAACAAAAAAGCAACAACGAGAACGTGTGTAATTTGCATGAAAAAATTCCAGAATTCATAAAATCAATTTCGATAAAGTAATTAAATAATAAACAAGTCGCACTTTGTAGCGAAAACCAAATTTAACGTTAGTGAATTGGAAATATCTACTTCCTACCAAGACCAACCCGCAATCTTGCAACTACAATGCCAGCATTGCCCAGCGGAGTTTATGGCCAAGCGCAGGGCCCATCATGTTTTGATAAAATGAAGACAGGATTCACGATTGGCTTTTGTGTGGGCATGGCAAGTGGAGCACTCTTTGGTGGCTTTTCAGCATTGCGGTGAGTTTGCGTCCAAAAGTAAAGCCGCTGATGCAACTTTATGCAATTACATAATGCATATGTGAAATGTAGCTCAAAGAGTGTGGCACTTTGATTTTTGATCATTCAATTTGACAAATTAGCTCACACTTTATTTCTTATAGATATGGTTTGCGTGGTCGCGAGCTCATTAACAATGTGGGAAAAGTGATGATACAAGGCGGCGGTACTTTTGGCACTTTCATGGCTATCGGCACCGGCATCCGTTGCTAAGCAGAAGATCGCTTTGGGATAACGCAATGCCGGAACATATTTTCGCTTTTTTTTATAATGATGCCCTTTTCTTATTAATTTCATAGATTTTAGTTTACCCACAATACATATACTGAGATACGTGCAAATATCGTTAAAATAAATATTTTTGAAATGAACATTTTTTAAATGCAGCGGCTTGCAGATCATATATTTTGAAGTAGAAGATAATTTATTATTTGTACTTACCTTTGTCTGATTCGACGTGCAGCCCGTCAAGTGGATGTGTTTTTGCAAACTCAATTTTGTCACCAAACGATAAATGATTAATTGTGTGATCCAATTTCACATCGGTGAATTGAAAGTCATGTATATGAAATTGGCGTATGGAAAAACTGTTGCCAGGAGCAAAATGAAAACTACCGGCCATCTGAAAATGAAAGGTATTTTAATAAGCAAAATTACCAATAGCATATAATCTGCTTTGAACCCAAACGCATACTCACTCTATTCACTTCTAAATGTCCCTGTACTCTACACCCTTCTTTGAAAGCATCTGTATCACTATGTTTGAATTGATCTTTACATTGCTCGATTTTATCCATTTGCACATTCCATCTTCTTTCACGATATGAATTCAGCACCTCCTCACAAGTGTTGCAGCATCTTAAATAAATACAAGAAACTTTTGTATTTAACTCTGTATTGCTTTATATTAAAATTTAGCATTTATCAACCATACTGGGTGCTATTATATTCAGCGCCATAGCAGCTACCACAAGTGGCGTTTTTGTTTGATGGCGACACAGCAACAATTTCCTTTATTGGTTCCGTTTCTTTCAAAGGATTACCCTGCAAATCCAAGCGATGCTTGAAAATATCATGATCAACGCGCAAGTGCTGATCGCCTGAGGAGTCCATAGCGTCCAGTGACACATCTTTAACAAAACTCATCATTATTGAAGGGGTAATGGTAAATAAAATCGTATAATTACGCACAGCTACACGCTAAATTGTGTATTGTTATATCCAAATTTATACGCAGTTTGTGATTTCGCGTGGTGTCTACAAACAGATCCTCTGAGAGATTTGGTCGAAAATAGGCAACACATTCTAGAAAAATCAGTACAGCTATGATGGTGCTGCTGATTAAAGTTACTGCAATTATAAGATATAACTCAATTTATTTTCTAGGTTTATTAATTCTACGCATAATCTTACCTGCCGCACCACTAACAGTGCGTACACTGAAATCCTCAAGCGTACGTGGGTACGCATCCAGCCGGCGGAGCACATCCGCAATTCTCATGTTTCACCGTTGTTCCAACGCCGCTGTAAAGGCAGACAATTTCTGAAGACTCTGTAATTTGTTTATATTACCTGGTCACACGAAAGCAATCTTTTAAAGTTTGGTTAAATAAAACATTGTACGGTGAAATAGGAGTGTAAAAAACTGCTGCGCTGGATTAAAAAAGGGCACGTTTGTTATTTGGCTCGTTGCCTCATCTGCCAATTCTACTTTTTGTTCTATTTACGAACGTCACTAAACGGAGAGGTGATAGAGGGTGCTGCATTTCTAACTCGACAAAATTCAGCACAAAGTCAGCAAATGTTCGATTATTTTTACCACAGTATAGACACTAGCCCATGTAGGAATGTTCAATATCATATCGAATATTCGAAAATTTCTAAACACTTTGAAATCTGGATCGCGGATCGCAATACCGTCAATAAATATTGAAAGTGTAGCACTTTCAAAACGCGATCCATACATTTCGTCAGTACATCTTTTACTCTGTGTGTGGAATTGTTCAAACAAAGAACGTAGATATTTACGTTCTTTGGTTCAAATATAAAATAAATTCAAATAGAATAAACTGAAAATATATTATAACCAATTTAAACATAATATGGTTCATTGCCTGGTACCTACGGCTTTTGCAAATTTTAAAATGAGGCCAAAAAAGTCACAACCCTACTTTTTAGTTTCTGGCCAGTGCGTTGCCAGTTTTTCAAAGCACTTAATTTCTTGAATTCGCGAACAATGCATAAACGGGCCTATTTTTGAATTCATGAAACTAAACAGTAGGGTCGTGGATTTTTTGGCTACCTTTTGAATGTGGAAAACCTATTGATAACAGGAAAAGAACCATATTATATTTAAATTGGTATTAATATATTTTCATTTTAATCTTTTAATTTAATTTTTTTTATATTTGAACAATTCCACGTAACTTTTCCAGTGTTGTAAATCCTG